AGTGAAGTGAAAGAGAATGGGGCGGCAGCTAGTTCAACGATAACATCATGATGCACAGTAAGGGCCCGTCAGGGAAACGGGTCTACACGCCCACTGCTTCTTTGGCTCCTACTCCGCAGGTGAACACAGGTGGGAGTTCGCTCAGGGGTCCAAGGGGCTACTGGAGGAATCAGAAGCATCTATCATCTACCCATTAGTTCTCTTCTCCTCATTCATCCAACAAGCTTCATGAAGGGTCCACCATGGGCCAGGCCGAAGGCACAGTGCCTACCCGCACACAGCACCAGACCACCAAGTTGCAGAGAGGATCACACACAATGTTCTCAAGAAGGAGTCGTAGTTAGAAAAATGCCAGTAGGCTAGCTCTGAGCCCTCCTTGCTCCAGGCTTCACAGGAGGGAAAACCATGTGGATCCTTCCAGTCTCTCTCCACTCCCTCACGGGTAATTAGGTTCAGAAGAGGAGACAATTACTGACATGCAGGTCTAGGGAAAGGAACAAAGCACACGCGGCTCTGGCCTCTCTCCTTCCCTTTGCGTCCCACCTGCCTGCTGTAGATGCCCTTGGTCTCCCCGCTCCCCAGGCTGTTACAGGAGCAGCAACTCCTAGGAGGGGCAAGGGCTCTGCTTGGGAACTATATTAGCAAGTCTGCTTTTCTCATCCAATCCAAATCCACACAACAAACAAAAACAAAAACCCATGGAGTCTTGAAATAAAGAAAACACTTTTGGAGCACCTGGGTGGCTCAGTTGGTTAAGTGGCTGCCTTTGGCTCGGGTCATGATCCTAGGGTTCTGGGATTGAGCCTCACATCAGGCTCCCTGCTCAGCAAGGGGTCTGCTTCTCCCTCTCCCTCTTCCTGCCACTCTGCCCACATATGCTCTCTGACAAATAAACAAATTCTTAAAAAAAAAAAAAAAAAGATGTCACTTTCATATTCCATCACGAGTCTCTGTGACTCAGTTCTGAATTCAAGTGGGGTGGAGAGCCTTTACTGACAACTTCTTCTCTTTCCTATGTGTGTTTGACCAGCTCGTTTGCCCTCTCCCCCAGCCGCTCTTATGTATCCTTATAATATCTTGGTGACAGGCAGGGTTTTGTTTTGATTTTTCTCTTTTACAGGAGGAAAAACTCTAAAACCTGAGCCTTAAGTGACTTCGAGGCCATTTGATAGCCCATGTGTTCATTTAGGATGGAAAGTTCAGATTCCTTAACGCAGATCTGTCATCTACAGCACACTGCCTTCCATTTGAAATCCTTGGGGAGATGGAGTGCTCCAACTTGGAAATCATTTTTATCCCACATGAGAGAGACTAGTCTATGAGATCTGGAGTAGAAACAGGACACACCAATGTTTATCCACCCCACTCTGCTGATGCAGCTCTGAAGATGAAGCAAGAAGAGAAGGAAATGTGAACAAGGAGTAGGAATACGGTTCTCTTGCTTCAGGGCATCTATACTCCACTCAGGAAACAATCATTGCCAAGCACCAGTCCCCGAATACAGAGATGAATACAACACGGTCCCTGAGGAGTCCACTTTTTTCCTCTTCTTGTGTAACAATGCAATCCATTTCTGTTAAACATCACCTATGGACACAATCATCTACACAAGCTGTCCATGGAGAACGGATTACTCTGTGGTTTCTGCATGCCACCTCCTCTCTAGTGGTCCTAATTATCCCAGCTATTTGGGGTAGTTTACTAAAATACAATGGTTTTTTAAAAAAAGACAATGGATGTAAACATAATCCCAACCTGAATGGGGACCAGGGGCTCTAGGTATGGAAAGCAGGACTCTAAACTGCCCAGCTGCCCGTAAAGGGGAGGCATGGCTCACTGCCACGCTAGGGAATAGAAACAAGATACTGTAATTAATTTCAGAGAAGAAAGTATAAACCAGGGTAGCCATAAAACAAAGGGCACCTCTTTGTCATCTTAAACTCAAGGCTATAGGTTTAACAAAATGAATGAGCTCTCTATTTGTTCTTAACACTTTTACTACTTTTAACACGTTACACTTAACACAAGGTCAAGCTTACTTAAACAGGTTACACATGATTAAAAAAAAACCTTCTATTTTGCTAATTAGGCTTGTATGAATAAGTGAAAATTCAGAATACAAAACATGACAAATAGTAAAGGTTTTTGTTTCCTTTTTGTTTTTTTTTGTTTGTTTGTTTGTTTTGTTAAGAAGGATGGGAGTACAAAAACATTTACTGAGGATCTATGTTCGTAGCATTCCCCCAGAAGCCCTCTCCTTTATTAATTCTTCCCAACATCCCTGGGAAGTTATCAGTAGTGCATCCTTTTTTCCCAGATGCAGAAACTAAAGTTCAGATGTTAAGTAACATGTACCCAATTTCCAATTCCAGTTCCTCCAGCCAAATTCCTTCTCTGAATCAGTGTTTCTTAACAAACTTAAGGACACCGCTGGTTAACTTGGTTTTGGGTTGTGTACTTTGTATGGGATGGCCATGCGTGGAGGGACATACAGCATCCCTGGCCCATGGACAAAAAAAATACCAACAGCAGCCCGAAAACATCCCAATCCCACGCGTGGAGGACTGTTACCCCGCAGAGGAGAACTCCTGCTCTAAAAGATTCTTCAAACACAAGGACAAAAAAACTGGAGGGGCGCTTCCTTTAAAAAATCTCCCCTACCTTCAAATTTCTCCGAAGTCCCTTATTTTACAGCACATGGGCTCCTAAGAAAGCCCCGTGCACACCTACGGAGTCAGTTACAAAAGTGGCCATGAAATATTTCCCATACATTCCGTAAGCATTTACTGAGAACATACTATGGGTCAGGTACTGTGCTAGGGGCTGGGAATATAAAGTCAAAAAGTACAAGGTCCCAACTCCAAAGGGCTTATAGTCTAGTGAGAGATTAAATATGGAAATGTTAAAATAGGTGTAAGCACCAGTACTAAGGACATTTAGTGCAGAAGGTACCTCCCACAGACTAGGGCAGAGAGCTGGGAAAGCAGAGGGAACAATGGGTTGAGACAGGGTTGGAAGTTTTCCTGAGCCTTTTGAAATATCAGGTGAGTAGCCAAGAAGTGCCCAATCTAGCCTGAGCAAACTGCCTTTGCAAAAACAGAGCTAGGGAATCCTCTCTGCAGTCGAAGTTTAAACGACTCCCTTCAGTCCTGGAGTTGAGACCTCATTGTGATTCAGACTCAGGTTCTCCTGTTTATCAGAGACAAGCACTTGAACCAAAAAGTCTCTAGGATTAAAAAAAAAAAAAAAAAAAAAAAAGCCTCTGCAGTCTACGTGTACTTCATTCCAAAGCTCTTGTTTTCTCACAAGGTCTGCCTTTGCTCGTATAATAACCCATCAGACAAGAAATATGACTAATTTTATACTTCTTACAGTGAACAGGAAATGGTTTTCAAATACACCGCGGACTTGCAACCAGTGGGAGTGTCCCTCACTTGGGAACACAGAAAAGTGCAGAGAAGAGAGGATAATCAAGGTCATCTTAAGGGTGAGGCAGAAGGGGTACCGCAGGTCAACCTAACTTTGGCCTGAAGCTCAGGATGAACTTCATCTTTTTTATCTTTTTTCCACTCATCTGAAGTCTTGTTTCACTTACCATCAACTGTAACGATGCAGAAAGCCAGATTCTCACCTTAATATTACATTTGCACAGTAGCGAAAACTTAGAAACATCTTTGTCTATTTTTTTTTCAAAGCCATGTCTGTTACAGACATATAAAAACCATAGATGTAAATATAACTAAAAGTAGCCATCTAGGGCGCTCTGAACCTCAGCCCAAAGGCAACAGTTTTTTGAGTTAAGGTACTGAACAGAAAAATACTGGGTTGTTACTACTTCAGATGGTTAAGTAATTATAATGAGAGCAGGAGTCGGAGTAGTTCAGTTGCTCTCGTTTGGGGCAGGGAGGGGAGAGGAAAGCAAGCCTTGAGGTTCCCTCTTGCCTCTAGCCTACAAGGAACAGGCTCATTTCCCCTTGGCAAGGAGCCAGATGCACTGGCAAGCATGCCCTCTTTTTCCTGCCCCAGTTCCCCTCTTACCTGAGCCACACTCAGGAGCCATAACTCTGGGGGAAACTGTAGGTTCTCCTTCAGTCCCAGGATTATTGCATTTTATCATTCAGGCACAGTTTGACCACTAATTTGACACCGCAAACACATCTGGCCCACATATCCACACCCCCCCCCCCCGCCATAAACTACCCTCCACAAAAAAAGTCTGTTCCAAGGGAACAAGAATCTGAAAGGAAAACGTGGGATCCCTCACAAACCTCCTGCCCCTGCTTTCACCCAGGAGGTTCAGAGGAGACAGTATTATAGAGCCAAAACTGCAAAGCCAGGGGCTAAAATTATATTAGAAGAGAGGAAGGTGGTCTTGGAAGAAAAGGATTCACCCACATGGAAGGGACTGGTTGTTCTTTTTAATTCCTGGCGGATTCCATTTCTTTTCTGTAAACTTTGCTAACCCCGGGATGGTCGTACAAACAGAGACAGGTGTAGGGTCACCTCCACCCTCTGAGTACATCTGCTGCTCCGCTGCCGGGTGCGCACTACAGGGGTCCTGGACCCAATCGAAGACCATGCTTCCCGATGACGCACCTGGCTGGGGTCCTCTCCCACGTGTGGGGGGCAAAACCAGTATCCCCAGCTCCGTGGCCACCCAGCCACCTCCAGTGCAAGGGGACAGCGAAAGGGGCACCTCGGGGCTGAGACCTCATGCCGGTCTCTCCGGCTTTCCCATTTCCAGTACACCGTGTCGCATTAGGGGTACTCTTCGCCTCCAACCCCAAAGTGCTGCGCACCTACATGTCTTTCCAAAGCAACTGAAGAAAGCGCCTACTGGCCTTCCGTGGCTCAGGTGAGTGCCAAGAGGTGTAGGAAGAAAGGGCCCGCTCGCCACCACCCTCTTTCCTCTCCTCCCCACGTTCCCCAGGATTCATCAGGGATGTGTGTCTGGGGTGCGCGGGTTAAGAGGGAGCTTAAAATGCCCAAGCGTCCCTTACCTTCCACAGCCATTCTCTCAGAGCTTCCCTAACGCATGCATAATTTTCTCGGCCGAGATACTCCTCCTGCCCCGCGCTCCCCCCTCCTCGCGCTCTCGCCTAAATATTCTGCGCTCATCTGCTCTAGGACCAACCTGCCGCGGTCACGCAAAGCGAGGCTGCCGGCTCCGGCTCCGCGCAGGGCGGACTGGGAAGTGTAGTTCCCTCCTTCCCTCCGATCCGGGAGAGCACCCCGAATCCTCCTCGGGGGACGGCCCCTTCTCCACACTCGGACCGCAGATCTGGCTGCAGCCGGCTCAGGTAGAATAATCCCTCCTCGGGGGGCCTCGTGGGCGAAGCCGGCGAGCCCGGGACGTGGCCGGGACTACATTTCCCAAGCTGCCCTGCGCTGGGCTCCGTTCGGCGCTGAATAGAGACCCGAGATTGAGCTCTTCGCCGGCAGTTGGAAGCGGGTAAGCGCCAGGTAGGGCTTGTGCGGAGGGCTGGAGGCGGCAGCGTCGGTGGGATCTTCTGGGCTTATTCGCCGGCTGTTTGGCTAACCATTTAGGGAGGAGAGCAGATCCACCAGCTGGCTATGGTTCCCCCCTCTGGGCCAGAGAGCCGCTGCACAAGGTGTGATAGAAAGTTGTTCCCTCAGCGCCCTGGGATTCTCGGAGTTCCGGAGAATGCCGCCAGGTGATAAAGCTGTCCTCTGACCCTCCAGGTGGCGCAGGTGGATGAACACCTAAAATGGGTGGGCGATGGCTTAAAAATCCCGAACGGGCATTATCCTCAAGGGGTTGTTAGGAACCAAACCTAGGAACCGGATCCCACCTGAGGATGCCTGATGATGGAAAGCTGTCTTGCTTCCCAACTAGGAGGCTTTCAGCTTGTTTGGACTGGAAGCCCATTGACGGTCTGTGATAGGGCCTAATCATTAACAGTGCCTAAGAATGCGTGTTCTTTCAACTTCTGACCCTGTGTCCTAACTCCGGGCATTGGGGGTGCTGTAGGCAGACAGGAGAAAGAATCACGTGGAAGGCAATAGAATTCCAGAGCTGGTAAACACTGATAAAAATGAAGTTCCCAAACTTTTTTTTTTTTTCTCCTTGCACGAGGAAATGCAGATGGCGTTATGGCTGGTAGAGCTAAGGGGATGGTCTTGGGCGAAAAATCCGACTCAGGGCTGTAGTAAGTCTTTTAAAGGCCTCGAGCTTGGAAATTCGAATGGCGCCACTTCCAGTCCGCACCCAGCTCTTCTACCTCCTTGCACCTCCTTGCATATATATATATAATCTCCCCAACCCCAAAATATATATATTTATAAGAACTACTCTGGAAAATAAGGAAGTACAAAGATTTGATTCTTCCCATAAAGATAACCACTTAGATTTTGTCCCGGTCATAAATTTAAAAAAAAAAAATAATTCTGTTTTTGAGTGTGTACATGCACCACTGTTTTTCTGGTCACTAAGTATGTGCCTAATCCTACTATGATTGGGTAATGTGGCTGTGTCTGGGTGCTTTTAAAAATACCTGTGTCTAACTATTTAAATGCCATCAGTGATATTTTAACTGTGTGTCCATAAAGCTGTGTGCAAATCAAACCCAAAGCTTCCATCCTTGGTAAAGTAGTCTGAGACCTCTTCAGTGAGACACAATGGGTATTTGCCACGGATAAAATAATTTTTCCAATCTAATTCATAACCATCTGGAAGGAACTGAAATCCAGGTGCTTTCTATCCCCTCTCATAGAAGTCTTTTCTTAGATAAAACATTTGTAAAAGAAAGCCAAGGGACCAGCAAAGCGATGATTCTTGACCTTCTCGGTCCACTAACCTTTTACAAACACATATTCTTAACCTCATCTTAATCTCACAGAATCCGGATTTCTGAATGTTTGGATAGGGACACTTAAATTTTAAAAACCCGCAGGTGATTTTCATGTGCAATGAAAATGAAAAGCATTGGTCTGTCTTCAAGCTTTTAAGGATCTGGGTGATACTAAAATGTAAGTCACTGAAATCCATTTTTAATTTAAAAAACTTTATTTCAGTTCACATCTTTTAGATCCTTCCCAGTTGATGTGCATTCTAGTTAGAATTTCATTTTTAGTATAAATGTAAATGAGATGTGAAGGAAATATTAGTTTAGCCATAAGAAATAGCCAATATTGAATTTTTTTTTAAATGTAGAAATAGAGCAGTATCACATGGCTTAACCTAATAAAGGATAAGGAGAAATTAAGTTGGGGCTTTCAATTCTGACTGATCACCTGGGGATAGGATGAAAAAGTTCTCACTAGAATCGCCAAAAGGAAAAGACAGAAAATACCAAGTCTTGGCAAGACTGTGGAGCAGCAAAGACTCATGAATCCTGCTGGTGGGGGGCAAATCGATACAACCACTTTGGAAAGCCATTTGGCATATTAAGCTAAATAATGCTTATTTAATGTGATATTATTAATAATGTGATGCAGCAGTTCCCTTGTGAGGGTATGTAGAAGGCAGATGTATACATGTTTCCAAAAGACCTATACAGGAATGTTCGTGGCTACATTATTTGTCATAGCCACAAACTGGAAACAGCCCACGTGTTCAACAATAGATTAATGAATTGTGGTTTAAACAAACCACCCCATACTGTACAGGTTAGCAAACTATGGCCTATGGACCCAATATGGCGTACTGCCTTTCTGTGTCTTGTTCATGAGTTAAGTATGGTTTTTACATGTTTAAGTGGTTGGGAGGGGAAAGAATATCTTGTGACATGTGAAAATTATATAGAAGCAGCTACATAATAACTTCAGTTTTGCTTTTTGGCCAGAAACACCTAAAATATCTCCTGTCTGTCCCTTACAGAAAAAAGTTTTACCAACTCCTACTATAAAGTAATGAAAATGAATGAATTACAATTGTATACAACAACACAGATAAACCAGATCCATTAGGCATCTGTTGATGGTAACACATCACCTCAAAATTGAGGCTTCAAGTAACACCTGTTTATGATCTCAACTTCTGTGGGACAGAGATCTGGGCACAGCTGAGCTGGGATTTCTGCTTCATGGTCTTTTACAGGCTTCAGTGAAGGTGTTGGTGGGCCAACATCATATGAACGTTCAATTTGGGAAAGGTAAGCTTTCAAGTTCACGTGGTAGCTGGCAGAATTCACTTCCTCTCAGGCTGTTGGACGGAGGGCTTCAGGACGGAGGGCTTCAGTCCTTTGCTGGCTGTTGGCCCGAGACCAGCCTCACTCCTTTGCCACAAGAGCTTCTCCAACAGGGAAGCCTGCTTCATCAAAGCACACAAGCTAAGAAGGCTAGAGTTTGCTAGCAAGATGGAAGTCACAACCTCTTGTTACCTAATCATAGAAATGCCATCCCCTCAATGTTTCCATCCCCTCGATGTTTTCATGTTCTATTAGTTAGAGGCAAGCTACTCAAAGGGAGGCCATGAGTGTTACCAGGTGGGATCATGGGGGATTATCTTAGAGCCTGCCTACCACAACACACAGGCAGAACATTGAACAAAAAAAGCCAGACAAAAGTATATATTGTGTGATTCTATCTACCTATTTTTATTTATTTATTTATTTATTTATTTATATTTCCGAAACCAGGCAAGATGAATCTATGGCATTATAAGTCAGGAGAGGGGTTCCCCTAAGTGTATGAAAGGGGAATATAAGAACAGGGAATGGTTAGTAGCTGGAAAGAAAGCCCATGAGGGCATCTGAGATGCTGGGATGTTGTGATTCTTGAGTTGCATGGTGTTTTCACATATGTATACTGTTTGTGAAAAGGTATTGGGCCATCTATATCTGATTTGTGGAAGAGTGTGTGTGTGTGTGTGTGCGTGTGTGTGTATGCATGGAAGAGATACTCCCATAAAAATTTTTAAAAGTAATGTATGCTTAGATACAATTAAGCATGATAAATGACCCATTTATGAGCTACTCTTTGATCATCTATACTTTCTCTTTCTTTGCCACAGTAAAGTGACAGTTGACTCCATTCCATTTAACAAGTATGCTTTGAGGACCTACTAAGTGCCTGGCAATTATCTCGGTCACATATGGTAGACCGAATTTCTAAAAATCCCCCTCAGGATTCCATACCAAAATCCCCTGAGCCAGTGAATGTAGTGAGTCTTTCTTCCTGTGATTGTATTATGTTAAAATCTTAAAAATGGAAGATTATCTGGGTGGGCCCAATTTAATCAATCAAGAAAGAATTTTCTACTGGGAGCAAAAGGGGAGGGCAGAAGAGGAATTCAAAGAGATTCTAGGCACGAGGAAGACTCAACACATAGGTTACTCCTTTAAAGAGAGAGCCATGTGAGTAGGGATACAGGTGGCCCCTGGCAGTCGGCCAGCAAAGAAAAGGGGGCCTCAGTCCTATAGTTATAAGGAACTGGATTCTGCTAACAACTTGAATGAGCCTGGAAATGGGTTCTTCCCCCAGAGGCTTCAGATAAACATTCAACCCCCCCCCCCCCCCCCCCCGACACCTTGATTTAAGTCTTGTAAAACCTGAACAGAGAACACAGGTGAGCCCACACATTCCGCTGAGCTACAGAACTGTGAGCTAGTAAATCAATATTTCTTTAAGCTGCTAAATTTGCTTATTTTCTATTTGTTATTTTGTTTAATTTCTTATGCAGCAATCGAAACTGATACAGGATGTATCCTATTCACAGCAGACCTATTTTTGGGGGTGGGGACATTTAAAAGATAATGATTTTAAAGATTTTTTTAAAATTTATTTGACAGAGATCACAAGTAGGTAGAGAGGCAGGCAGAGAGAAAGAGTGGGGAAGCAGGCTCCCTGATGAGCAGAGAGCCTGATGCAGGACTCGATCCCAGGACCCTGAGATCATGACCGGAGCTGAAGGCAGAGGCTTTAACCCACTGAGCCACCCAGGCACCCAAGATAATGATTTTAATGCTTACAAAGTAAATCAGAATCTCAGGAGGTAGGACTCCCATCCCTAGCACTTTTTTCCTTTTTTCAAGTTTTTCAAGTACTTCAAGAGATTCTAATCTGAAGCTTCTATTGAGCAATCTTATTAAGGGGATAGAGATCAAAATGCCTGGGTGAGAAGAGATATTTGGCATTCTCCTCTATTACATGTTCCCTTGACCTGTCACTGAGGCTTGTCATGGCTTCT